ATTACTCGTCTTTAATTCTATAATGTTCTTCGGCAAAACAGAATAAATAAAAAATTCAATGCATGAGTTTGTTTATAGCATGAGAGATATTTCATCGTTATAAGATTTTTGGAATACAATTTCAAATGATTTCCGAGAGTTGTTATGATATTTTTTTTACGTGATTTAATTCTGGGGGGTCTTTACATGGGAATATTTTCGTTCACTTCCAAGAGTTCAAGGGTGTCATTTTTCCAAGAATTGATTGTCTTCAGCAGTGAAATAGAAAAATAATAAATCCTCAAGGAATTCTCAGAGAAACAATCCCATCCATTCCCCATCGTACCATATTTATTTATTTATTTATTTTTTAACTTCCGAGTGATTTCTCATTTCCACAGAAAGCGCACCCGTTGCTATCTCCATTTATTTCGAGAGAAAGAAAAAGTTCTGATGAATCGATCGACATGTGTCTTTTGTTATTTTAAATGTCAGCCGTGAGCGTTCCCATTTTTTTTATTCTCCCATTTATCAGTTACCGGAATTCATGGAATTTCCCTCCATTCCATTTTTTCCCATCGATTTTCAATTTTTATTCTCTACGAAAAAAAAGAAAGGCAATCCAATCGCGAAGACGAATGAAATGAACAAATAAATAATTTATCAGTTTTCCATGAAAATATCTCACCTCTTGAGTTTATCCCTCTTTTCACTCAATTAACAATTAATTATCACTCAATCAGTCCGTGGGAGGAGTGGGAGAAGGGAAACTAATGCAAACATAATGATAATAAATAAACAGACAAATCCAACGATTTAACTACGAAAATTATGAAAATTTTGGTGATAAATCATCCGAGTTGTTCACTGCATCGTGGATGTTTAAACACTGAAACCAACTGAAACACCACTCGATTGGTCGAACAAATATATCGATATATTTTGAAAAGAGGAGGGAGAGGTGAGTGAGCGCCATCTCTCTAGATTTTCCACAAACATCACTATTTAAAAAGAATATTTTATTAATATTTTTTACTCTATTCCCTTTCAATAACATAAATATTAATCACAATTATCATTAACAATAATTACTCCTATTTCCACCAGAAAAATCATCGAACCCATACGCTGAAACTCCATCGATATTCTAGAATATAATCATATAAATTATATTATTATTTTATTATTGTTATTATTATTATTATTATTATTATTAGAAAACATATTTTTTCCTCATTGATTATTTTTGGATGGAGCATTAAATAATGGAGACATAATAGAATATTTGAAATTGAAAATATGAAAATATGAAAATATTTGAATTGTTATGAAAAATATGTGAATGACGATAAACTCACGTATTTCTTGTGCATGGCAAGACAAAAAGTGCAGACCTGAGGTCTTCCCCTGGGATTACCCCAATTATTATCCTCCAATCGTAGACAAGGCTGATCAATTGGTCCAGATATAAGAATAGCATCCAGATGACTGATATAGGAGCTCGCGAGCCTCAGCGTCTCGATTTTCGATAACTTCCTGTCAGCAGGTTCAGTTGGAATCAACATCCTGAGATTACTGAAGGCTGTGTTGACACTGCACATTGAAGATGTGTATTTTTCTTCTGTATTCCGCCTATTGTCAATCTTTTCGTGAATAAAATTATTTATTCGTTGATTTTAAATGAAAAATCACCTGTGGGTCCTGTCGCGCTCTCGAGCATTTGCCTGATACCTCTGTCTACTTCCCATGATCTTCAGGGTATTTTTTTTATTAACAAATTGAGTATTTATCTGGAGCAACGAGATTGGAGATGCTGACTGAATAAGTTGTACCACTGGAATGAAAAGCCTCGAGTTTTCGTGATGTCATTTAGTCTGACAAGTGGATCCCTTCCTCTTTTCCCTCTCATTCCCACCAGCGGGATATTACTGGGTTTCACATTACTCAGGGCTAATAAAAACATTGGGATGCTGAGTGTTTCATTTTTGTGTGAAAAAAGCTCGACATCTGGAAAGCGAATTACTGTCGGCACTCGTTCATTTAAAAAATGTGAAAAAATAATCATAAGGTTTTTACATCCACAAAATAATGATAATTATCTTGACAATTTTATTGGTCATTCATCACCATTAGAAAATGGTCATCTATAATAAAAAATTACTCCCCCAGTTTGTATGAAATCTTTACTTACTTCCTTTCACGTTTTTTTTTTTGTTTTTAACAACTAGATTACATAGAATATCATTTTTTTTTTAATCTTAATACAATGTACACGCACCTCAACCGTGTGGTCACGATGCTTTAGATTAAAAACCAGGGGAAAATAAACGAAGAGAGTTGAAAGAAAGAAAACTATTGTTTCCGGTCAATAATTCATTTTTTTTCTTTCGCTTCTATGAGGCAATTAACGTTGCCCTACAAATTTCTAAAAAAACTTTGGTCACGTTTGCTAAAACAAAAATATCGTCTCGCGAAAATCAATTTAAAAACATTTACTAATTACGAATTACTGCCCCTGAAGCCCCGTTAACAATTTCCATTGAATTTCCCTTAAATTGTTTAAAATGTCATTTTTTTCATGCAAATGAAAATTAAAATCATGTGTTTTCGTCAATTCTCAACTAATTGTCTCATGCAATGAATTAATGAAATTCATCAGAGCGACGAAAATGCCTCGAGCTAGATTTGAATTTACCTAGACAATATAATCACACTTAAAGTTAACATAAAATTATTAAATTAATTATGCATAAATTAATATTGAAAAAAGAAATCATCTCCGTGAATTTACAATTAGTCTAAAATAACAGTGAAATTTACGAAAGGATAAGCGATTTAATTAAATTATTTAATTAATCTACCGTGACCCCTCATTGATAATTTTTTTGCTTTTTTTCGTTTTCACTTAAATTTTAATCTACTTCGTATGCAGTCTCCTTTGTCGTATTTACATTAGACAATATTACAAGACACTGAAGTACATAATTTTTTCTTTTCAGCATCGAAATATACGTACATACGTAAATAGTTGAAAGGGAAACGCAAAATTCATCATTTCGTTCGATTCTCCTGCGACGATTAAATTATTAATCGTCTAGTTTATACTTTATCTATTAAATCAACAGTATAGAATGATTTTTGATTTATGTTCGAGGCTCTCCAGCCCTTTTGATGATTTTATTACTCATTCCCAGGAGAAATCGTACGAAACTCTTGGGTTTTTTTTTCCAATCCCAAAAAAAAAATTTTTTTTTACGTTGATCTAGTAAATTAAGGTCGTGATCCACGTGCTGCCTCTTCCAGGGCACGAACCTTGAGTTCACGTTCCCGTTGTTGTCTGAAAAATAATTATCCATTATTCCCTGCAATTGAGATAATTAGTGAAACTCAATGACAAACCTGATGTACTCCTCATGATGCATTAATGACGCATGGGGTGGAAATCTCTCCCTCTCGAGCATGAGATGACGCTGAAGCTGTTCATGATGAACAGCCATATCAGCATAGGGTCTCCCCAGGAGTTCAGCTGGATGTAAACCAAGGGATGGATCTCTGGGCATCATCCCAGGTCTCGGATAATTAGCGCTGGCAGCAGCTGTACGCGATAAAAATTCCAAAACCCCTTTTTTTTAATTCATTAAACTCTCAATAAAATTTCAGTAACAAAATAAAAAACATTAAAAAACAAATGGATTGATTATTTATTCACCACTCCGCTACTGACATGTACGAAAATTGTTAGAAAATTAGGATCTTTGTTGAATAAAACCAGAAATTTTTTATACAAAAAACATGAGCTCCTCACATGTTACGACTCACATAATTTGTCATAAAATTCCTGAGGAAATCAAGCAGAGGCTCCAGATTAGTCCAAAATTCTCCATTCATTCCAATTCACCCAATTAATCCACTCACTCATTACCCATCACTCGTCAATAATCTTCATCTCTTGATGGTCAACACCTCTCACGCATACGCAATTTTGAAAAGCCAAGGAAAACATTGGAAGACTGGAAACAATAAGGAGAAGTGGGAGAACATGTTGACACAAAACGGAGAATACTAATTCAAAAAAAGTGGAAGAACCAGTAGCTAAACGGTAAATCAGGACGAGTGCATTTTTTCGAGATATCTCATTACAGAAGGACAATAGCGATATTTTCCTCTGAATATTTTCCTTAGAGAAGGATGCGATCTGTAAAAAAGTTATCTATAAAAAAATCGCTATCACCTTTCAATTTCAAGATAATCGAGTGCAAAAAAATGCACTTATTGTAGTTTACCAGTTTCAGAGTGGGAAAAAATGGAAAAATGGAAAAATGGAAAAATTGAAAAGACGAAAAGAAGAAAATAGACAAGAAAAGAAAAATGGGAAAAAAAGAGGGGAAAAAGAGAAAAAAGTAAAGAAGCCCGAAGTAATGCTGCTCTGTTTTCGTTGATTTTGTGGGGAGGATTGAGACATACCAGGCAGGGAAAATCCAGCGGCTACAGCAGCCGCCTCTTGCTGTTGCGCTGCCTGTTGCTGTTGTTGTCCCGGATGTAGGTGCAAGTGGGTATGCGCATGCGTATGCGCGTGAGTGTGAGCATGATACTCGGGTGAGATGCCAGCCATCTGAAGCCGGACCATCGGGTCGGCAGCCAGAGCCAGTCGCTCATCAAGCTGTCCATGATGATGTACCGGAACAGGATGGCCAGCCCCTCCCCCCGTCGGCCCCCCGCCGCCTCCAGTGGGTATCCCTAAACGCGTTTTTACCATTTTCACATGTTTTACCCAACTTATTGTCAAAATCCATTCACCCACACGTCATTCACACCCATTCACCCACCACTCAATCAATTCACCCACATCAATCAATCAATCATCACGACGATAATGCCCTTACCTAATCTCTCGAGTCTCTCTCGATCAAGCTGACTGGGTCCAGGTGGTGCCCCATAGATACCAAACTGATGCAGTCCCTGTGGTGGCCCACTGGGTCCCGGTGCAAGTCCAGCAGCTGCATACCGCCTCTGCATCTCCATCCAGTGGGCGTCAATGGGCCCAGGCATTGCCCTGGGACTGCCCTTCATTAATTCCTCCTTGAGTCGATCATTGAGCTCTCTCTCCCTCAGCTCTCTGAGCTCCCTCTCACGTTTCTCCCTCTCCATGTGCTCAAGCTCCATTCTCTCTCTAGCCCCAGGCCCATACATGTAATGTAGCATTGGATCAGGTGGTGCTGGATGCCTAGCTGGACTGAATGCCGCATGTGGCCTAGCGTACTCTGACAATTGTCTGAGTGCCGGTGTATCAGCGTACGCCGGTCTCGCAGCGTATCTGTCATAAGGTGATACCACTGGCTCCATTGGACCCCTCGACGGTGGTTTACAAACCTCTGGCTGCTTCTCAGGCGTTGACATTTTTCTCGCATGCTGTGCCGCTCTGTCCCTCTCCTCGCGCTCCTTCTCCGCTTGTTTTCTACTGCGCTCCTCCCTCTTTCTCGCAAGCTTCGAGTCAGGCACTGGTTTAAACATCAGATCAGTTCTGGTGCACGAATTGTTCTCACCCCTATTCCAATGTCTGAGGAATATCGCGGATTGAGATCTGTGACACTCGGAGTCTTCGATACGTGGCTCTGGTGATGGACCACGAGGGCTTGGTGGCTCCTCAGGCTCTGGCTCCATTATCTCCTCAATTTTTGGCTCCAGTGCTGGTGGTGGTGGTCCGGCTTGCTGACCCGATGGCGCTCTGTGGTGATGATGTACCGATGAAGTTGATGTCATACAGGACGACACCATTGGTTTAGTCCTTTGATTGTGCTGCGAGTGGGAGGATGAGTGGCTGTGAGAGGAGTGTGACGATATGCTGAGTAATTTGTCATGATGGAGAGTTGTTGCTTGGTGGAGGCTTGATGAGTGATGATGTGTTGCTATAAGATTTTCACCCTCTTCCCTTGTCGTTACGCTGGAGCTTGTGCTCGAGTGATGGGCTGTCATCATTGTGGTTGACTCCTGGCTTCTTTGAGGACTCGGTGGTGGAATAGCGTGTGGCACTGGGGCATATGGATACGGTGGAAAACTTGGATAAGTCCCCACTGGTGGATAACCAGGATAGGCATGAGGATGATAAGGATGCATAGCAGCGAACAACGAGTGATGCATCAAAGGATGATGAGGATGAAAGGTGTGGGCCATGTGGGGACTTGGTTGTTGACTCGGATGCATCACTGGTTGGGGAATTGACGTTGGTGGCGGTGGCAATGAAGGTGTGGGTGATGCTGCCACTGATTGAATTGATTGGCCTACATTCTGCTGGGGTGGTGGATGCTGTTGCTGATGCTTCGATGGGGTTGGCGGTTTGATATTGGCATCAGGATCCTTCTTTATATTATCGAGACTTGGACCAGGAAAACCTGGCTGATAACCAGGAACCTTCACCTCCTTCAGACTCTGCAGTGGATCTGGCTCTGGTGGCACTATCTCCTGTTTGATCTTCAGATTCTGAGGCTCCAGGGGTGGAGTGCATGCTAGACTGTAGATCGTTGGTTTTTCCGGTGGCACTAATGGCGATGGTTGGATTGGCTGGAAAAGCCCGGGCTCTGGAGGACGCTCCTGGGGCTCCTGAGGATCCAAACGATCTGATATTCTGTTGTCCGTTAATCTTCGATCGGAAATTCTATCGTCTGGGAGTCTATCAGCAAGTCTTGAGTCTTGGGGTGGTAGGGTAAGCCCCAGGGGTTGGGGTGATGCTGGCATCTGAGAGATTTGAGATAGATTTTGGGGGATGTTGAGATTCAGGGGTGGTAATGACATGTTTTGGGCCAATTGTTGTACATCGGGTGTGTGATTTGATAAATTCTGGGGAGGTATACTCGAGGGAATTTGAATTGATTGGGATAGATTTTGGGGGACACTTTGAGTTGGTGGTACTGGCGCTGGATACTGCATATTCAGGGGAATTTGTTGGGGTGGTTGGGGAATTGAAACTGGTGGAAGGCTCTGGGGCATTCCAGGTGCCATCAAAACTGGATTGTTCAATGATTGAGATAAATTTCTCGGGATATTCTGGGATAAGTCACTTATTCCCATTGATTGGGAGGTAACCAAGGCTTGAGGTTGTTGTTGGTGTTGTTGCTGCTGATGCTGCTGCTGTTGCTGTTGATGTTGCTGTTGCTGTTGCTGTTGCTGTTGCTG